CAATTTAAAGCAAGAGGGAGAAGTAGGTTAAAACTAGCCTTGGTTGGAACTGTGCTCAGTATTGCTACCCCTAAACTCAAATGAATAAGAAGAGTTCTGTCTAGAGGCTAAATTTTTGTCAAATCTATTCCATCAATATCCTGGGGGTTATTTGGTTAGTCTTTTTAGATATACTTTTTCAACAGTCGAGTAGATGAGAAGGTGCATTAAGCTTTTGGGATCTTATTTTTAAGGGTAAATCTTCTCTAAAGTTTCTGACAATCATAAAAATATCTCCTATAGTTTCATTTTAATAAATATCTTTCCTGAACTTTTGAAAATTTTGACATAAACCTCCCTTCCATCACCTTCCCAGATGGAAAATGTTAGACAAATGCACCATTTTTTTCTAAATACCCATTCTACCCTTTTATAAACTATTTACATACAAAATTACTAAAATAGCCCTGTTTTCACTCAACAAAAACTTTAGTAGATGATCGTTAGATGAGGTTTTGTCAAGTTAAAATAGGGTCAATTCATTAAATTTGTATGTAAAATAGTTTATAAAAGGGTATAATGGGTCTTTGGAAAAAAAACTGATGTATCGGTCTAACATTTTGTGTCTAGGAAGGTGATGGAAGAGTGGTTTTTGTCGAGTTTTTCAAAAGTTTAGGGGAAGTACTTATTAAAATGAAACTATAAGGGAGGTTTTTATATTTTATCCTATTTTTAAAAAGTCAAAACTGTTTCATTTACATTGTAGTCTATTGGACTGTTAAAAACAACTGGAAAGGTTATTTTCAACATCGAAATGCCAAAAGCTTTATTTGAATTGTCATTTTTTTTTTTCTGTGCATTTGTCTTTGAGTCTTTCGGTCTATGCAATACCAAACAGGAAAAACCATTTTTTGGTTTTTTGAGCTTTCCGCAGACTAAAAGATGCACCAGACACTGCCTTAGAGAAGATTCCCAGCTACTTTCTAGTGACGTCTTTGACTGGTTATAGCAGAGACTCCAATCCCACGTTCGGGTTGGGGCCGGGGTTTGAGATTGGGGTTGCCAATGGGTTGGGTAAACCCGTCAGACCATTTGATGGATGACCCAATTATATGTGGGTTTACATTATCATGTTTCTCAATTATAATTGGGTTGGGATTGGTTTTAGTTGTTTTGAACCGATTAAGACCCAAACTGATTACATAAGTATGTATATGTGCTACTAAGATACCCCTAGTTTAATACTTATTATATAATTATATTCAAATTTGTTAATAAATAGGGAAGTCTGTTGTTGTATTGTAGGCTAGAATATAGTTGTTAATTATAATCAGGTTAGACCAGTTAGGCCCTATAGGGTCTCTGGTTTGGGACTGGATCCACGCTGTCCTCAATCCATAGGCATCTCTATTTTCAGAGAGTAGGGAGCATGCTAAGACATGTTGGATTAAGGTTTCCCAATTTCTCAACCCTAACCCTAGTCCAACTCTCCCCTCCGAGTTGGACTCACTTAGAAGTGGGTCCCACTTTTATATTGATAGGGTGTTGGAACATGTTTTATTGTCTAGTGATTTGGATTCTTCCCCTTTCCTTCCCCATTGTATACTCCATTCATATTCTTAGATTAGAAATGTAATGCCTCTTTTAATAAATTTAATATGGACATAGTTCAAGCCAAGCCAAACAAAATCTAGAGATGTGTCTATTTTTTTTTTTTGAGATTTTGGCACAGAGTCCATTTCTTACTACTTATATCTGAGTTCACATCAGTGCCCCACGAGGGGGTGCCCCACAGCACATCTGACCTTGTATTATGAATATCTCCTAATGATAGTGTGGGAGATTATAAAACTTAATCAGGAGATGTTCCCAATATACGGTCGGGATGTGCTGTGGGGCATTGTGGGGCGCTGATGTGAACTCCTTATATCCATTGTCTATTCGCAGCATGATCAGATTGTAGCAACAAACCCTTGTACCTATCATCCAAATAAAACTAAGAGACTAATAAGGGAAAAATTAGGCTATGTTTGGTTTGAAGGAAAACAAAGAGAGAGGAAGGAAAAGACAGAGAATCCTATACAAGGTTTGTAAACCTTTCCTTTCTTTTTCCTACCATTTCCTTTAATGCTGTGTTTGGTTGCTGTGCAAATTTATTTGTACTAATACAAATGCATAGGAGTACAAATGTTAAAAAATGCAAATTCTTGTTTAATTTTATTTTGGATTTTACTTTATTCTTCTTAATGTCTTAATTTACTTCATTTATACTGCAATCAAATAAAATAAGCTAAAATTTGAAACAAAAATAAATCAGAATTTACACTCAAATCATTTGCACTTGCCATGATTTTGTACCAGTGAAAATTTATTTGCATTGCAACCAAACACAGCGTAAAATTCAAACTTTGCGCTTCACTACAAACTAAACTACATCATCCTCTGCTTTTGTTTTAGCTGGATGGATTATTGAAACTAATCTCTCAAATTGATTCAACTCATTTGTTCATTGATTTTACTATTTTTTTTTACCTGGTAAATTGGGATTCCAACAGATCCTAGAGGCTTGAATTGTGTATGTTTTTTTTTTCAACCACCACTTATGATACCATTTGACCAGTAAAATTTATTGAAAAATCGTTGATTTTGTAATTGGTTTCTAGAAACACAGACTCGACACCAAGGAAAAGGTAGAATCTCCTACTAACTTATTATAATTTATTATAACAATATAGTACAGCATAGATGGACTCGTTTGATGACATAATGAATATATAAACATCACTCTAATCAATCCCTAATGCTAATAATGAATGATAATGACTTAGTGATTTAGAGCAATTATATCTAATACCCCACAATTACTCCTAATTCATAATTAAGGGAAGCATATGTCAGCTCTTTCCAGCAGAGGTCCATTGCAAATTAGATCCTCTACATAAACAAATGGTTGAATCAATGCATCGGGTTGGGCAGGTTGGGATGAGTCATTGAATTAAACCGGATCAATGCGGTGTGAAATGTGGAGACTTCAACAGAGGAGTCCAGATCTGTACCTCACAGAGCACGCCTCAAACAGACCTCACAGCCTGTTTTGGATATCTTCCGGATTCTTCCTTATTTGCACTTATTATTCATGGGGAGATGGTATTAATAGAGAGTGGAATGTGGCTGTGAGGTTCGTGTGAGGCATGCTCTGTGCGGAGCAGATCCCAATTCTCAACAAAGCGCGTTCATGGGCCACTTCAGAATCTCAACAGAGTGCACTCATGGGCTACTCCAGAATGTACAATTAAGGTGAGAGGTCCCATTGGTGCTCATGGCCCATGGGTAATTTTTTTTTTGTCATGGCTTTTAAA